GGGTTATGCAGCAGGTGTGGAGCTGCCCTTTTTACCGTCCTTTCAACCTGCTGTCACCAAGGATTCCTGGCCTGGACCTGATGACGTTGGTGCGGCTCTTTGCTTCCAGTGCCACCTCCAATGCTGGCCTCCCGGTGTCCTGTTCAGCCAGCCACCAAGTCTCCTGCCCTGCCTGTCGCCTCCAAATCTCCTAATATGCATCTATGTGTGTCTCTATCCATGTGCTTTTTGCCTCCCAGTCTCCTGCCAGACCTTTGCCCCATTTCCTGTTTGCGCCTCCTGTGTCTGTCCATGCTCTAGTGCTCATTCCTGTGCCTTTCCCAGTCATTGTTCACCTGCCTTTCCGTTCTTGTTTCTGTCCCAGCCACTGTCAGCATCTCTGTTGATGTCTCAGCTTTTGCGTCAATCCTGGTCCCAGTTGCTTGCCAGTTAGTCCTGCCCAATCATTGATTCATTCAGTCCCTGTTAAATTTCATACAGTTCCCTGTCCCATCATCTGATCAGTCCCCTATCCAGTCTCCTGTCTGTTCTCCTGACCAGTTTTGTAGCCCTGTTCCAGGCCTCTTCTCCAGGCCAGCTCCACGTGTGTCTATCGGTTTCGTTCTCCTCCCTTGTCCTGCCTCCTTATGTCTTGCGTCTCTCTACTAAAGCCCTGCTCTCATTATTACTCCCAGCTGTTTTGTTCTGTTCAGTGCATTTCAAGCCCCTGGTCTTCTTTGCACTTGGAATACTCATTTAAAAGGGACAAGGACAAATTCAGCAGCTGTAATTTTTACTTAATTCACACTGTTCCTCACAGTTACAGTTTTTCTTCATGTTAATGTTTCATGAAAAATTTGCTTATCCTTTGAATTATAACTTCTCATGAACTCTGCAAAAGTGGGACACTTTTCAAAAGCACTACATAAAACCTGTGCACTCGCATGTTTTGTATGTAGTCACAAGCCTCCTAAGTTTTATTTTTTTCAAAAGTTTTTATCTAGTTGTTACAGACCTTGAAACACACTTGGGCACCATTTCTCATTGTAATTTAAGTTGGTTTAGTTTTTGCTAATGCTCCACTTTTGCAAAGCTACAAGAAAACTAAAGTTAATTTGTACTATAAACAATTTGCATCCCAAGAGCAAACTTTTGCAGATTTGAGTATAAGGTGAGTAGCTGTGTGATATGTATGTCCAGTACAGCACCAATGCTCAGCTTATCACACAGAAACTTGTCAACTACTGAGGAGACTTCAGTTTGATCATCTTAAAAGAGCTCAGTAACACTGAGATAAATAAAGGTCTCATCACATTGATTTATCAGTCTACTCAGGCTTTATCAGAGCTCCGTATCACTGAGATTAATAAGTGACTCATCACATTGATTTATCAGTCTACTCAGGCTTTAGCAGGAAGTGTTAGCAAAGAAGCTGTTTGTTGAGTCCATCAAGCAAGCATGCTTGCTACACTCTGTGGGCTGATTTTTAAAATAGTTAATACACATTAATGTTTCTTTTTTTCTTTGAAAGAAAGTGGGTCATTGTTCTAAAAGTATTCCCCTAAAAATGTAAAAGATAATTATATTCTGAATACAGATTCTGAATACTTGTATTCTGTTACATCCCAATCCTGGAAGCTGTGAACCCTATAGTGATCCTTACTTGACAGATTTTAAACTGCAGTAGCAATCATATTTAATCAATTGTTAGTTATGAGAGGTTAATATAATTGGTTTTAGGTGAGGTGATTAGTACTCAGATACTCATCCTGAAAGATAAAGTATTTGAAGCCTGCGGAATGCTGTTTGAGCCAGCCCTAGTATTTTGATTGATACTTCAGTTACATATTACACCCGTGTTCCTCTTTTTACTCATCAATCTGCTGCTGACCGTTTATGGCTAGGCCATGCAAATCAAACTTTCAAGATAAGCACTGTGCCCTCCTTCAGCCTACCAAGTACAGGGTAAAAAATGAAAACAGGTCTATTTTCAGAAGGGGAATTCTCTGAGTCTGGAAAAATGAACAGCTTTGGTCTGAAAATAAAACATGCTACTCTCTTCTAGAGACTATAAATATAGGGCACATCTAAATTATGCAAATTTGTGTCATGTACTTGAACACAGTTGAAACTACACCATCTGCAGTATGAATGGACAATGACAGGCCAACCAGACAGTATCGTAGCTTATCCTTTGGCTTAGTGCTGTGTTTTTGTGTACTAGAATGGACTCAGCCTTTCAATGACAGTCACAGATGGCACGGCTCATGGATGCGTCTGTGCTATTGAAAACTGTTTGCAGACCAGCTTGATAAATCAGCGTAACTGAAGCTGCATCTAATGTTTTGAGGCAGATGGCCCTGCAAATACTTATTATTTCTTTTGCAACAAAGCCTTGCCTTTCTGAAACGGTAATTTTAAAGAAGGAAAAACATTCTTAACTTATGCTAATGTGACAAGATTTTATTCCCAGTAATTTTGGACCATTTCTAATCTATTTATCATGGAATGTTCATATAATGCAAAAACCAACTGGCGTTTACAAAGTTATGAGGTTTTGATATGCAATCAGAGAAACAGAGTTGAAAGATACGTAAGGATTTTGTCTAAAAGCAAAGTGAAGCACACTTTCCAGAGGTAGGTCACATGTTTTGAGGCAGATTTCCTTGCAAAAGACGTAATTATTAACATCCCATCTTCATCGCAGAGTAACTTAAAATAGCCCCAGACAGAGAGAGCTTTGATCCGCTTGAAAACAGGAAATTTGATAGGAAATATTTTGTTCGGAGCGTTAGATGTGTCCATTTCTCTGGGCAGGGCCTATTGTGCACAATGTCTCGAAGGCCCGGCCAGCGAACGCATCCAGACGACGTATCAATCAGTGCTGTTAGACTTTTACTCAATTAAGTGTTGGCACTAAGCAACTGGAAATCTAATCTGTTTTGTGTTAGGCCGTTTTTCGTTAATGCTTCGTCCAATGCGTCCAACAGGCCTACTGTTCTCAGTGCCAGGCACCATCTGCACTGTGCATGCTTCAGAGCAGCCAATGTTTAGTACTGAAACGGTGCAGAGGACTGTGGACGAAGATATCCTTGTATGCTTAGTCTCATTCACTTCCAAAATCTACACTATATGCCACCTGCCAAAAGTTTGGGAACATCTTGCCTTGTTTTGAAATTCAAATATTGTCATTGTTACTTTTCAATGAAGCAAGAAAAAAAAAATACTTGGAAAGTTTTTGTAAAGTAGATCAACCATTTGCTAATACCATGGGTATATTTAACTTCAGCACTGTACTGAACCTCCTGTGGTTTGGTTTCAGGTGCAAACTGGATGCATTTTGTCTAAGTAGTATGTACAAAACTGGCACAGAAGGAACAAGCCTTCAACATGTGCTGAAAGAATGTTTACCATCAGGATAAATGTAGTTATGTTATAACTGAAGTTTGAGGGGATGAACATCCCTGAAACCCCTCCTTCTTCCAATCTAACACCCTATAAATTCACATCCTCACCCCCCCACCACCAACCCATCTCCTCCCAGTTCCTCAGTCCTGTTACAGCTATGAGGGGGTTGGGGTCTGGCCTTCTAGCTACAGGCCGAAGCTGCCCAGAACTCCGGACCAAGTTCTTACAGTTCTCCCTATCAGTCTTTCTTCATACTACCACCACATGTTGAAGGCACAGTCTGAACTCTGTTTAAACCCTTGGGACCAGACATACATATATGAGATGGTAAACCTCAAGTTCATCAAAGTGTCTTGCTTGGTATTTAGAGCAGGTTTTATCTAAATAATGATATAGCTGTTTTCATTTTCAAACTATTGTTAAAGCATGTATTAAACCTCCTTTCGTCCAAAGGTGACCTAAAGGTGGCCTGAAAGCCTTGTTGCAAATGTTGTCACATATTCACACATGATCTTATTTTTCTTACCTATTCAAAGGTTTAATAATGTTGACTATTTCTTAATGTGCCCAAACCTTTCTTTCTGTTCTGTAGTCATAAGTATAATAATCTTCAAAATGCATTCATGGCCACTGTGATGAATTTGTTAAGCATGATACCTACATGATTACTGTGGTTCTTCATCATATTAACATTGCTTAAATGTATTTTTGTCCATGCTTAAGAAAAGAAACTATTGTTTTGCTCTTTGTCCATTGTTCTATAAAAGCAGGCAAAATGTGGGTATGAGGAACATCTCAGGAATGTTAACTGCTGATTTGGAAACCTCTGGACAGCATTTGCGTCCACGCATCCTGAAACAATACCTATTTTTAGAATCCTCAAGTGACGCTTCTGCCCAGAGAGATGCCATCTGCATCAGCTGTGGATCTTTGGCGTGTGTGTAGAGAGCCTTTCTCTGGAGGTTTGCGTCTGGGCAAAAGTGGACAACAACAGATGGATAGCGTCCACCATCTTTAGTTCTGTTTGAACCACATGGCTGGATGGGATGCGGCTTCTTTGATAAGGCCCAGTTTGCTTGTTTAGTCAGATTTGATGTCTCTGGTGGATCTGATCCATTTGCCTGTTCGCCTTTAGGGAGGTCCACAGACTCGATGAACAACAAAGATATCTCTTTTCTGTTCACTTGACTGTACACCAAAACAAAACAGGCTTCATTTAAACAATACTACACATGTTTACATTTTTCAGAGACTGCAGAATGCCTGTCCCTTCTCATATCGCTCTCCAAGATGCCTGAACCCCCCCCCCTTTCAAAACCTACAAGGCAGAATAAGGAAAAACAGTTTGTTTTAAAAACCACAGTGTATGATTTACAAAGTCATATTTCATTCAAATTAACCTGTAACGTGGAATATGTGCTAACAGCCTTCCACACAGTGGGTACAGCATTAGGCAAGAGCTCTACGATATGGGAAAGCATGAGTAAGTGAATGACTTACTCTTCTTCAGATGTGAGCATAGGGGTTTAGAGGAATTCCCGGAGGCATGTGTCAACAGGCATAGGACAGATAATGTTTTGAGCACGTCAAGATTTGTGCATAGATAGAGCAAATAAAAAGTAGGACAATGTTTACGAGTGACTTACTGACAGCAACTACAATTCGCAGTAGCAGGTGTGCTAATCTGAAAACTAATTTTCAGTTAGCAGTATCACAAATAGCCTACGTCACCCAAGCAAGTTCAACACTTCATGTGGATCAAATACAAACCCACTCCTTTATGAACAATCCAGTATAATCCCGCCTTTTAGATGCTGTTTGAGGGCTCTAGTTCATGAATAATCTCGCATAACCCCACCCACTCCGCCCATTTCGCGAGGTCTCGTTCATGAATAATCCTATATAACCCACCAGGTGGAAATAACTAGCCCTTATGTATGAATACTGCAACATAACCACGCCCCTTTTATGAACATCCGTTGTAGTTCTTCCTGTATACACTCATTTATGAATATTTCAATTAATAATCTATCGTAACCCTGCCCTCCTAATAAATAATCCAATATAATACAGCACAACACAGGAATTACCAATTATAACCTCGCCCTTTATGTAATAGTCGTTCATTAATAATCTATTTTAGCCTCAGGTGATTGCTTACAAATAATCCCACACACACCAGTGTCCAGCATAACACCTCAGGTGCCCTAAATCAAGAAAAATCAATAATAGTCCTGCCCCTGGTCATGAATAGTCCAAAATAACCCCACCTGCGTTCAGAATTTTCCACCATAATCCCAAATTTTACCTGCTTTCGTGAAGAATCCCCACCCATTACACGCTACTGAGGAGCCCTGCCCCACAAATAATCCAGTATTGCCCCGCCCACCAGACGCAGCCTTGCTCATGAATGATCCATATAAACCCCGCCCTCCTTCATGAATAATCAACCGTGGCTCCGCCCCTCAGACTCTGCTGGAGAGCCTCTGCCGTATTCACGCTGGTCTGTCCCCCGATTGATGAGCGGGTTTGGCGTCGAGGCATCGGGACTGACCTTCTTGTTTTGTTTTGCTAATTCAGTGCGGCTGTATTTCTGAACACAAACACAGCGTCCTGCACTCCAGCATCAACATATCGGGAATTACGGTGTCGTCCAGCTCCGGTGGACGGGAGAAAGGAGCGAAGAGGGACGGGAGAAAGAGGCAGAGGGGTTTGCACTTGGCTGAGGTGCTTTGCCGTCCCAGCTGTTCGTCTGCACGACTGCGGGTTTGACTGGAGAGACTAGAGAGCGACCGACAGGAGGAGGGAGCCTGAAAGGTAGGTGTCTAGTATTTCCGAAGCAAAAACGACAAAACATGCCTGAAACGCGTTGTTTTCGGCGGATAGGTAGGATATAAACACGGCGTGGACAACGTAAGGTCAAACGTAGCCGTGTGTTTCGTCGTTCCCTCCATACCGCGATTCATTCTATAGCTGCATGAACCGTAGAAGAAGCATCAACGTGTTGACAGACAGGTAACGCTAACGTTAGCGGGGAATTCCACCGATTTTTCCATTTTTTTGCATAATTCCGTCGTTACAGTGTAAATATAGTCATTCAAAGTGGTTTAAGGTAAGGTTCATTGTAGAAAAACTACAGACTCTTGGTGATAGAAACCAGGGGTTGCGCTGTCTACATCACAGCTATAGCCATTTTATTTGCTATCCAAAACCTGCAGTGAGCCTACACGTGTCTTCAGAGTTGTAATATGTAATGCTGATGCTGGTAGTGGAAAACCTGAAAAAATAAGTTTTGTTTGGGGACTTTTTGCCTTACAACGCCCTGTATGTACACCTCCGCCATGAATGTATAGTAAATAAATAGAAAAAAATAAATAAATAGATTAACAATACATTTTAGACCAAAAGTATGTGAAAACAATGTCTCAGGCATCAGGTAATGTATCCATCACCATTTTGTGTTATAACTCTGTAAGGGAGGTTTTAGAGGTACACGTCTGGTTCCTATCACCACCACTGTGAACAATTTTGACTCTGTAAGTTTCTATGGAAGGGAGCATTTCACACCAAACCACTCTGAATGACTTTATTTACCACTTCATTATGTAGAAATTGTGAAAAATTGGTGGAGTTCCCCTTTCACGTTAGCAAGCTAAAGCTGGCTCAGTTTCAACAGCAAAATGAGTAGCTGTGTATCTCGGTATAGATGTTATTCGGAATAAAACTCTGTTTGTATGAAACAAGACGTTGACGTTGGACACGTTAACGTTCACTCAGTTAACCCTAGCACCTTCACCAAAAGTCCAGCTAGCGTTAGACACCAACTTACCCCACGTACAAGCACAGACTTTTATCTCATTCACACACAAGCTAACCGTAAATATAAAGGCAAAGGGTGAACATACAAAGCCAGCGTGTACAAAACATGAATAATAAATGGTTAGGAGGAGTATCGTCTGCTCTGACCAAGTTGCTTTCAGCTCATAATCAAACGTGTCCTACATTCAGCTACAGCGAGGCTGTGGGCGGGTTATCATTACAGGCTTGTCGTTTCACAGGTAACGGCAAGGCACCTATTCCTGCTACTGCCAGTTGATACTACGCCTGAATAACACGATTTAAGTTTAAAAATGTCCACAGTTAAATGTAGTAAACCCGTTTTTGACTCAAATGAACTTATAGTAGAGCCTCTGCTTAGCCCTGAGTAGTAGCTGTTTGGGTTGCTTTTGCTGGAGGACAGGGGTTTGGCTCTTGTGTCCATCTAGAGAGAGGGAAGCTGGACACATGGTAGTTTACACACCCACATGTTTACCAGTGAAGCATGATTTCGTTCCCTGCTGTAGACATCTCAGAAAATAATGAGAATTATATAAATATGCTCCCCAACATCGCTGACAAAACCCACAGCAAATTTAGAAATGCTTTTGGCCCTCAGTTCCTGATTAGCCATGATTCTAAAAACACACTGAAATATCAATGTTTTTTATTACTGAAGCATGAAAACATTCAAGGAAGTGCCTTAAAGGGTTTTACTACACAACAGCGAGCTAAATTTGTGGCTTATAATTGACCAAACCTCTCATAAAAGCGTAATAAAACGAGTTAGAGGAGTTAGCTTACCTGAGGGTAGTAAGAGCTGTTATGCTAAGCTTGTGTACAGTTGTCATTGAAGCCTTATTGTTGTGCATTGTGTGGCAGAGTTGCTGGGGAACTGACTGAGATAGCCACAACACAGGATGACCACAACACAGCCACCATGTCCAAATTGACTTTGGCCTTGACAGTTGGTTTTCTGGGTTGGTAGTTCAAGCCACAACTTTGTGTTGTGCTTCAAAGAATATGTAGTACATTAACCTTCAGGATTTTATCCACCAGCCCAGGTTAAAGGCCTCGAGTTAAGGTTGAACTTGTCGATATTTGCATGCTGTAAAGTTCCACTGCCCTGTCGTTTGGCTGTGCCCAGTGATGTCACTGGAATACTTTGTACTTTCATTTCTCTCACGGAAATCTGAGCATTTATCAGCCAGGCTGCTAGTACTGAGTATATGAATAGACCTTGAGGCCAGCCGTGAACACATTTCTGTAGTAATGTCCTGTGCCTTACTGTAACTGTGTCAAATCAGGGTGCAGGGTTGGGTCAGTTATGACAGCCCCTCATGTACTAAATATCAGGTGGTTCTTACTCGAGGCAAATTTGTGCATGACTGGCAGTCAGCAGGTTCTCCTTAACTGCTGTAATAAATGCAGCAGGGGCTGCCGTGGAAAAGTGATTAAAGGGGAACGTGGTGCAGTTGGGGTTAGAGGGGCTTGATTGAAGCACTTGAGTGAAAATCACTTCAGCTGTGTGTGTGTGTGTGTGTGTGAGCACCTACACCGGCATGAGCCATCCATCGTGGTGTGGGAGTGTCATCTGAGGAAATAACCCAATCATAATTTAGCACCGCAAATTGATTCGGTTAGATAGTCTGTGTAGGGGGGGTGGCAGGGGGGTATCCTCTTAGGATTAATAGACCGGAGGGTGCTCGACTAACCATCAGTAAAGCAGGAGGACCTCTGTACTCAGAGCGCAGATGAGGACGGTTCTTCAGCAGGCATTTTTTCTTAAACGGTACATTTAAACCTAGCGTCGAGTGCAATTTAATTTGTGAACAAGGGGAGTTTGAGGGAGACCCGGGGAGGACTAATAGGCCTGACGCCACTTGTATTTATTCTTGCATGTCTGTTTTCAGACAGCGTTGTCCTGACCTTGAACCTGGTCTTCTGCGGCTCCCGGTTTTGACACAAACCTGCTGAAGCATTGTATCTGCATTGCTGATTAAATGAAAGTCTTCTGAAGTGCTTAATCTAACTAGCTACTTTATGGTAGGCTTTGCGTCATCCTGTGTGTGAATTTGAGTCATGGTGTGTTCTGTTTTGTTGCATTTATGACCCCTTGACTTCATTTATGGTAGTGTGGAGTGACACATAATTGATATTTATTACATTACAGTTGTACTTAACTCTTACAAGGATCTTTACTATTGTCAGGTTGATACACTTTTTAAATTAGGGGTGCGCCAGTCAAATTTTGATTATGGCTTCTTTACAGCCAAAAATGGCAGATTTTTATTAGCTTTCTTTTTAACCTAAAACTCAAAATTTGTGGCCTAAATGAACACATGAAACACGCTCCCACATTTCCAGTGCTTTAAGTCACATATAAAAAATAATAAATGATATTATTTACTCTTTTTACTGAGGCAGATTGGCATTTTAACATGGTTAACATTAAAATCAGTTGCCTGTTTAAATAACATGAGCTCGAATTAAGCTCTAGTTTTGTGGAGCCAGATGTGATCTCATTACAAGAACATCTGGAGACAGCCAAGAGAAACCTTGGGTTAAATGTGGATAGACTTAATAGGGTGGGAACACACAGAGTGTGAACTTTCTAAAGCAATCCAAAGCCCTATGGGGCGGAGCTCAAAGCAGGGGGTAATGATGTGCTTGTCAGTACCGTCTGATGGACAACAAGCCTGTCATTAGCCTACCTAAAAACTCCAGTTAAGCATGTAGATGTGTGTCATGTGCAGTTCCATAAGCTAACAGTAGCATTTAGCTACTGATTTATGGCAGACCGAAAGCTTAAAAAATTGTTGCCAGATGTGAATTCTTATTACAACTAATAAAGCACTTCATTGAAAGTATGAGGCAGCTGGACATTTAATGCAATTGGTCAGGTCACTTATATCGTAAAACTGCAACACATTTCAGCCAAAATTAAAATTATGAAATATTCACTGCCAAGTGAAGTGCAATACAAAGTTTGGATCTGATGTTGGTCAGTTAAGATTGACCATTAAAAGTAATAAGAAGATTGTTGACATATTAAATATATAATGAATTACATATTCCCAAGCATGCATGTGTGACTCTTTTCATTGTTTTGATATTAAACAAAATGTTCTATATGTACAAACATTTACCTTTACATATTTCCATTGTGTATGTATTAAAAGTTTAGAATCCACACTTCCAACAGAATTTCTCTACTTGTTTCAAAGAGCTATGATTGAGAAATAATATATATAATCACAGCCTGCTTTTGTTATCGGCCACAATAAATGCACTTCTAATGGTTAACCTGAAGAAAAGGTGTCCATTACATTTTAGTGACAATGTTGAGAATTCTAGAGCCACCTTAGAGAGTTAATAGCTCAGTGCGAGTAACATAAGACAGCAGATTTTTGTAATCTAGACTGCTCTGTTATTTTAAAGGACCCAGCATCCAGCAGCTACATCCAGCAGTTATTGGAGTCTTGCACTGGGGGGCCTGTTGCCAGGGCAGCGAGGCACCACAAAGGCAGGCATGCCAGGTGTTGCTTTTTAGCGTGCGGGTCTTTGAAGCATCTGCACCCCCTGTGGGGGCGGCCCCCTTTATGGTGTCTGTTTTCTCGGTTCAGCTGCAGTTGGCTAGACATACAATCTTTTGCAAAAGGCCTTGTTGAGCTGCTGTTTTAGCCTAAAACAGATGTAAGAGTTTAGGTACAGGTCATGAAGAGTATGTGTTAATTAATTAATTGTATAATTGATTAATTTATTGAGTATTTTTAAACTATGAATTGGCTAATAAAATTATTATTAATAATAATTTTGCTGTTTTCTCCCATTTTACCCCATCACAGCACCAACTTCATTCAAAGTTCCATTTGTGTAACAAACAGGTTCTTCTTTTATGGTCCAGTGAAGCAGTAGTAGTGACTGGACAGATGTGTGCATTTGACTGATATTTCAATCCAAAACTGATAATCTTTATTGTACTCTGGAATAGCAGAACG